AGTGTAGTGTTAAAGAGGCCAAAGGATCAAACAAGGTCAGGCATGGGACTGGAGCAGAGCTGAGGCTCAAGTGTGAGGAAGATGCAGTGGTCAGACTTGGTTTCAGAGAGTAAGAGAGCACAAATATGAGTGTGGAAGAGGGGTGAGTTTAAGGGTGGAGATCAGGATGGGAGATGGTGTTAGTTGAGGTCTTGGGTAGGTTAGCGGTGAGGTAAGACACAGGGAGCTGGAGGGAAACAGGGTTTCAGTGATGAAGGTAAGAGAATATGAAAAGCATGATACTGGCATGGACTGCAAGAGGCATGACTATCCCTGGAATGAAAGAACCTTCATGTTTAAGCAGGGCTGTCTGTGGCACCTTCAGAGAGAGTGGGAATCACTCTTTCAGCAGAGCAGGCTGCCTCATCACCTGCCTGAGGGAGCCCTCTCTCTGCCTGGCTTTAGTTGCAGGGCCTCGTGCCAGCCGTATCGCTGGGACAGATACAGGAAGACTCCTTCTTCCAATTCTAGCACTAAAGGAGCATGGACTGGTGGTGGGATGCTTGCAGATCATATGTTCAACTTTCCTTAAAAAGTGGATTCTCCTGCCCAGCCCAGGTTTGGGTTAGGCATTACCTGATGTATATAACATACACCTATATACATATAACATATAAAGATGTATATATGTATATATGTTAGGGATATAACCAAAAATTAATCTCGGGTCTACAGGCTCTCCTTTACCCACCATAAACAATGTGACTGCTTGAAATATGGATGCCAGACATGACCTGTGACAGCTCCTTTCCCTTCCTGTAGGTCCAGCTGGCTGAAATGGAAGCATTGTCTCTCAACTCAGACAAGTCCTCTTCCATCCTTCTAGGAGATGAGTCAGACAATCGTAGCACTTCTCAGCTGAGCCCCAAGGACATCAAGGTTAGCCCCAGACTAACCTTGGGGATGTTGCACTATGTGTTGTACTATACTTCTGCCCGTGCTCATTTGAAGTGCTCTGTATTCATCCAGATGTGCCTGTTGAAGAATATAAATTCTGGTCACTTTTTTCAAGAGCTACTCCATAAAGACATATTGTGGAGAAGCATTTGAGGAGAAAAAAGTTATGTATGTTCTTAAAAGTTCTCTTCACTACTGTCAGTAACATTCTCTGAATGAACCTAAATATAGGGGATTTGGACTGGAAACCTAAGCACCTCAGCTAGCTCAAAGGATCAGCCTAGGGCTAAATCTTCAGAATCAGCCCTTCCAGAGGCTTTTACAAGTCTGCTTTGTCATCCACCATTAAATGTCACAAGGCTTTGTCCTCACATTTTTTCCAGCAGGATGGCCAGGACAGCTCTGACTCCAATGGGGTAGGCAATGTGGGGGAATGCCTGCTCCCAGTATCCAGTGCAGACAGTTCTACAAACCCAGACAGTTACCTGTGTGAAATGGAAAAAGCTCCTTTCAACTCAGTCCAGTCTTGGCTAAAGCACGAAAGTACCAAAGGTGAGCATGGCTCTGATCATTCTCCAGGTCTGCTGAAAGGGTGGGTTGGTTCAGCTCATCTGCATTTTTCCTGCCTCTCCCCTGCCAGAAATGGAGTAAATGTGACATGGGGTTACACTAACCAAGAACTAGCTTTCCGTTTGCCAATCTCCAGGAATGGGGTGAGGAGCAGTTCCTTCTTCTGCTGCTAGATCTTATATCCTCCCTCAGACTTTCCTATGTGAAGTATCATGAAAGGGTGGATTCCCATTCACAGTAGTGCATCTATGCACAGTCAGAGAAGAGTGGGGACAGACTCTCCTGACATGTCAAGTGGATGAACTGTGCTCACTTGGCATGGTAAAACATTGCTGTGCCCTGAGACCAGGTTCCTCAAGTACAGGCTCAGGGAACATGTGATATATGTCTGCTCTTGGTGGAAGTGTTCCACTTCTGCCCTAGAAAGCGTGGTGGCCTCCATTGGGCTCCAGGTTCCCCAAACCACTACTTTATTCATCTCACTTCATCCCTTGCCTAGCAGGGTCTGGGATGAAAGTCCTCTAGCAGTGATAACATAGTGGAATCAAGGCCTTAAAGCTCAGTAGCAGCAACAGGAGAGACAAGCTAAGCTGTTGTTTTATGGCTCTGAGCTGTGTTAGATCTTCCAGGTCTGGTGCAGGTTTTTGGTCCTTGTGTAGAAAGTGAACACTAGACTGAGGCTTCTTGGCCAGGAGAGTGTGTTACTAAAATCTTTCAAACATTGCACTTGTAGGACTTGTAGCAATGTGGGCACCAAATCAAATTGGAGGACTCTTCAACTTTATTTTTTTTCTTTCTGTTTCTGTTTTCCTCCCCATTTCTTTTGGTGCTTCGTCAGTCCCTCCCAGCCCCTTCTCTGCAGGTGCATCTTGCCCAGTGTTACCAGTACCAGCAGAATTTTTCCACCCAGCTATCTCTGCCAACCAGACAGGGCCTGAGAAAGTCTCGTGTCCACGCAACCTTCCTAAGATCTCTCTGCAAGGCTCCTGGGCATCACTGAGATCTCCGAGTGTGAACTGTTCACTTCTTCATCAGGTGAGGGCTTCCACTTCCGTCTGCTGGGAGAGGTTGATCTTCACAGCACACCCAAATAAAGGGTGCTGAACAGAGAGGAAGGAGAGGATGGAGAGAGGCAGCTATGGTCATGGGCTGGCCGACCTGGATGTTGGAGGAGCACAGTGGACTGCAGAGTGCAGGATGGTTAGGGAGGAGAGAGGGTTGTATAGCAAAGGGGTGTTGTATAGCTCTCGCTGTCTGAAATCATATATTCTTCTGCTTTGCATCAAAAACTAGTTTGACAGCTGCAGCCCTGAATGAAAACAAAATCACATCACCTCTTAGCTCTCCCCTGGATCCCCTGCACCACGTGCGCTGCAGACATCTGCACGCATAGCAGCCGCAGTGTGAGCAAGGGAGATGACAGCCTCTTAGTGCCGTGACTCCAGATCACGAACCTTCTTGGTTGTAAGAGGCTTCTCCCCACCTGCCTCCTCCACAGACTTTCATGCCACATTCACACACCACATTCCTGAGCTTGCTATTTTCCCCAGCCCCCTTAGCTTTTACATCCCAGAAAGGTGTATCTCTTTCTGAAAAGGCAGCTATTTCTCACTAATGAGAGAGAAGAATAAAAATGTTGAGGGAAGATGGAAAGTCTCTGAAGAGCAGAGAAGGCAGGGATCAAAGTCCAGTAGAGATCCCTGATATTGTTTGTGGAAGATATTCCAGGAACAATTCCCGTTTGAGGAGTACAGGGACAGTCTATTCCAGACAAACTAAAAAATACATTTAGAATCATAGAATCATGGAATAGTTCGGGTTGGAAGGGACCTTCAAGGATCATTTAGTCCAATCCCCTGCAATGAGCAGGGACACCTTCAAAGATCAGGTTGCCCAGAAGCACATCCAGCCTGGCCTTGAATGTCTCCAGGGATGACACATCCACCACCTCTCTGGGCAACCCGTGACAGTATTTAAAAGATGTTATCCAGCAGTTTGTGATAAGATACTGTTGGCACAATACAAATGTCTATAAATTCACCAACAATAAGTTTAAGCCTCAAGCTGAGACCACTGAGTTGTTGCAGTGTTGAAACTTCTGATACAAGAAGAGAAAGAGCTCTGGAGCTGGCATATCACTGAGGCAAAAGTACTGAACTGTTGTAAAGGAGAAATTGCTACACTTCTGATTATGTGATGCAGACTGTATTGAATAGCTATGGTTCGGGAGACTGCTCCCAGTCCTGTGTGCATCATTCCCAATGCTGTGTGTGATGTGTGTGATCAGTGATGATCTCGTAGCGCATACCGATTTCCTAGGAGCAACAGAAATACAGTTTAACTGAGCTCCAGCACAAAGAAATAAAGGCTGTTTCCCCTTCCTGCTGGAAGGGGACCCCACTTTTCTGCCCTGAACACCATCTTTGCCCCTAATGCTTGTCAGAAGAACCATGAGTCCTCTTTTCCCTTCCCAGATATTGCTGATGTTTGAATGAGAGGGGGTCTATATACAAAGACTGAGGTTTGTGTACAGAAGTCCCCTGACTTCCTGCCAGCTGATGGTTTTGATGTGTCCACAGCCTGTGTGGCAGGATCCACAGGGAAGTCAGAAGTGAGGACCCACAGGGAACGTTGGCTCTGCTGCCTCCTGGACCACCTGTGACCACAGACAGCCTAGCAGCAGGGGCTGCAGAACTCACAAACCCAGGACTCACTCCTTCCCTTTGATAGAGCATTTCACATGGGAGGGGAAGATTCATCCTGAGCAGAACGAAATTAGAGCTCAAAATATTGAAACCTTCCTCCTACTCCAGAAGGGAATCCTCTGGGCATGCTGCAGGGCTGATGCTTTGTAGCATTGGTCAGGTAGTTCGTAGGTGCCCTCCCCAGCAGAGGACAGTGAGAGAGGAATTGGAGTTTTTCCCCTTTTTCTGTAATTGTGGTTTATTTTCACTCAAAAAATTATTATTTTTTTTAAAAAAGGCGAAGTCT